TTTATCTTTATTAAGATGATTTTTTGTTCAACCTGTATACTTTACTTTTTTTTATTTGAAGATTAATTATATTTAAAACAATTTTTTTTGGAACTAACTTGTTATTTGGAATTAGCTAGTTATTATATAATAGCATGCATTACTAATTCTACCACCTCTTTATCCTATATGTTGCGAAATCTATATAATTAAAAATATTATAAATTTTGCTAGTTAGAGTAAGATTTTCTAAAATTTTATTTTTTTGTTTTTTATAAATTTTTAATGAAATCATCTTTTTTATTAATGTTTAGTGATTAGGTGCTTATTATATTAATGAAATAAAAAAAAAATATTTTTTTCTATTGTTAATTTAAATAAAATAAAAAAAATTTTAAAGGGTTATTAATAGTGATGTTAAGGTAACTAGTTACCTAGTTACATTTTGGCTAAAAAATAACTGTAACTAGTTATATTTTTAAAATTGTAACTAGTAACTGTAACTAGTTAAAATTTTTGAAAAGTAACTGCCAAAAGTAACTAGTTACTTTTAAAGATATATTCAAATAATTAATTTTATTTTTAATATGTTGTGATAAATTAATTTTAAATTAAATTTATTTTTTAAATTGAATTTATTAATTTAAAATTTTGTGAAAATGTCTGATTGTTCCCAACAATAACACAAATACTTATATGTATGGCAGATGTGCAGGGATTAAAATATTGTCAACCTCTAAAGAATACTATATTAGTTAGTATTGAAAAAAGGTAACTAAAATCAAATAATTATTTATAAATTAATAATATCATGTTATAGGTTTAATAATCTTTATGCTGCAATTCTTCACCCTTTATTTAAAACTGACTGGCCTTGGATTAGGCAAGAAAGGAATAAAGCAAAAAAGGAGAAAATTTTAAATTTAATAAATACCTTAATACCTCAAAGTGAATCCCAGACGAATGAATCATGCTCAAAACCAACATCACTTGATGTAGTTGGATTTTTTGACCTAAAGCGCCAAAATATTCTGGATAATGAACTTATAGAAAACTTTATCAATAACAACACTTTTTCTTTATATAACGATTTTCCAAAGTTAAAATTACTCTTTATTAAATATAATGTTGTTTTAACATCAAGTGCTCTCGTAGAGCGCTTATTCAGTCTAGGTAAGCTCATTTTTGGAGATAAACGAGCACGTCTCCTAGATAATAACTTTGAAATTAATTTGTTGTTAAAAGCAAATAAACATTTATTAGATTCTAATTTTTATGAAAAATAAATGTTTTTTTTTCAATGCAAATATATATTTTTATATTCGATGTAAATATTCAATTTTGCGATATTTTTTTATATAAATAAATTGTATATTATTTTATATAACTAATTATACTTTGTTTATCCTAATTTTTTTTATATTAAATAAATGCATTCAATAAATAAATAATGCGCATATGAAGGATGTATAAAGTAAGTAACTAGTTACTTTTGAAAATAACTGTAACTAATAACTAGTTACTTTTGTAAAAATGTAACTAGTTACGTAACTAGTTATGTTTTTGCCAATGTAACTAGTAACTGTAACTAGTTATGTTTCAAAAGTAACTTTTAACATCACTAGTTATTAAATAAGCTAGAATTTTATTGTAAATAACGCAATTATACATGTATTAGTTATAAAAAGCAATTTAAAGTTAAAACTGATCATCTTGTGGGATTAGGCTGCCGAATAAATATTCGATGTTTTAGAATATTTTTTTATTTTAAGAGTCTCTTTTTTCTTTAGAATATTCAGAGTTTGATTAATGCAAGAGTAGTCCCAGACCAGGAATTGACTGCGCTTCCAGGGAATTTGTGAGATCCCATAAGGACGTTTCGAATCTGAAAAGGCCAGAAGGTTCAAGAATGGAAGATTTGAGCAGATCTCAAGGCCCTAAGGAAGATCGAATTGCATAAATAGTGTTTAACGATACGACCTTTACACAAACGACAATGAAGGCTATGCCTTCCATTACCCAGGACGGCAGAATTGCAACCTAAACAGATGTGAGGATGAGTTATTAGGCAATTTAAACAAATACCAATGGCGTGAGTATACTCATTTTGGTATAGTTGTAATTGTAAATTAACTGAGGGATGGCTTCAAGGAAATAATGGCCAGAACCATTGAGCAGAGAGAAGAATAAAGGACGGTAAGATGATTGCATTCTGGAAAGGAGTGATTCAACGCAGCTTGCAATAAAAGGCCGTCCCAGTCCTTCTGCTTATAAATTTCTGGTAGAGGGTGATCAGCAAAAATTAGTGATTTCCACTCGATGGCACCATTATATGAAGGGACAGGTGTTATCAAATGGGTATTTACTATATTTTTTGCTAAAAGACAACTAGATATGAGGTGGTTAAGGCACGGAAGGGGATCTGATACCGAGTCCAACCATCTTGGTGGGTAAAGAGGATTTTGTCCAGGCAATATCATCGATTTGAGGTTTAGAATACCTTCGATTAGGGCTTTAATTCTATTTTCATATACACCGAGAGGTATTCGATATCTAAAAATGGGATTTGATCGAAGCACATATTGAATACGAGGAATTTGAAAAAAATTTTTAAGAGGAAAATAGCTTGATGGGAGTGGAAAAGGAAATAAATGGATTCAGATTTCTCAGGGTTGATGGAGAGCCCAATAGCATTTCCAGCATCATTGATTAAATTCACTGCTTTGTTAACCTCTTCATTGGAAACACCAAGGATACCATCATCAAAGTACCAAGCATGAAAGGATAATGAGTACTTCAAGTTAATAGATTTAACCATGTCGTTGATACCTAAACAGAAACATAAAGAACCTAGAATGACTCCGTGTTGTTTATTCTCAATGGAAGGAATTTTATAAGTATTAAACTGCAGAGTGGAAGAAAGTTGGTAACATGATTAAAAAAATTTTGTGTAACTAGGGAAAAGAGTATTATAGAGTTCAGGAAAAAATCCAGGAAAATGTATTACAAGCATTGGAGAAGTCAATTTTGACTAAAAATTTATTGGTTGGCTGATTTTCTAAGTGTATTTGTTAAATGAACAACCGCTTAACAGCCACCAATAATCCCAACACCAAGTTGGAAAGGGCTTAGTAGGCATGATGCTTAATGCGTCATTCAAGAAGATATCATCTTGGCAACTGGAAGAAAGGTAGAACTAATAGCAATCAGTCTTATATCAACATTGGGCTTTGAAGTGCTATTAGCCTAGCACTAAAGAGGATTGAAGAAACCAAGTTTAATACATCACTTTTAAAATTTTATTGCGAAAGTTCGTAATTTTAGAAAGAATGGAAGTTTGTAAGTATATTAAGGGGAAAGTGATGTCCTGGAGAAATATAGGGCGAATGCCAACAAGATCATGGGCATCGGTGAAAGGAAAGGATAGCTTTATTCACTTCTCAGGAGTAAATAGTGAAGCAAATGCTGAGTGAGGTTGTGGTAATTGAGATAATGGTAGCCGTTGGATGTTTTTGACAGAGCTTTATATTAGTATCATTGGTTGGCTCAGCGAGAGAGTCATGTGTGGAAACCAATTTGAGAGCCCCTTTAATATTAAGATTGTCAATCTTCTTGCATATCAGATTGGCCTTCATCTCAATTAATTTCTTTCATTTTTGATAGGCAATGGCATTCTGTATTTATAGAGATGAGGGGCATCAATCGAAGTAGCATCATTAATTTTCTGGATAAGAGATTTAAGTGAAGTTTTGTCAGGCACGCTGAAGGTATTATAACCATAGAAAAGGAATTTTAATCATTCATTCTCATATCTAGTTTAGCAGTAGTGATAGACAATCAGCGAAAATTTTAGCCACAAGCAATCTTGCACCTTTGGGGATCCTTGAAATGATATTAGGTTTGGGATGGTCAAGAAAAAAATATGAGAAACAGGGATTTGAATTGAGAAGAGGTGGAGCAAAGCGTTATCATCATAACACTTCATATTTTTTTAAATTATAACCGATTTACTGGCTTGATTTTTTAAATAAACCCACCGCTTAAACAATAAGGCTTTTACTATAAATGAAGCCTTAAGACATAATTATATTTTCCCAAATAATCCACGAATTTTTTGGGCCTGATAAAAATTTTGTCTTTCCTGAGTGGGTCGGTCGGGCCAAAATAATGTACATCAGATGTAAATTGGCGTGTGTTTTTTTTGATGGGATATTATTAACTCACATGCCAGAGATTTTAAATGATTTTAATAATTAATATCTTAAAGGCAATTTCGCTTTATTTTCAATCAGAAAAACCCGGTCCTTTAAGGATTGGAACCCAAATCTATACGATAGCTGACATATACATTTACTGATTAGGCCAAGACGGTACGGTATCTAATATTTTAATAAGGCACATAAAAAATTAATAACGTTTAACGCTCATCAGTAAGAGTTTTATTATAAATAACTTTAATTATAAAAAAAAGACATTATAATAACAAACCATTTTTATTAATATAATATCTTTCCTATAGTTTTCCCAAAAATTATATACACATATATGCTTAATCATCTACGAAATCTGCAATTGATTTGATCGTAAAAGCTAAAACGGCGATATGCTTTTTAATTGCCTCAACTAAGAAACTTGATAATTTACATTTAGATTTACCATTCACTATATGTGAAATATTTTGATCATTTGAAGTAGATGGTGTAAAATCTATGGATGGATCGGTAAAATTACACAAATCAGGATACGTATAACTCAATAAATCATTTAATTAGTCATTCCCACTATTACAACTGTTCCAATCGGTAATGATATCGCAATCCAAAACGTTAAAATTTGTAAGTCAGTTTTGGAATTATTAGATAATTGTTGTAGTGCGTAAAGTAAGTCATTTAAGGCTGGAAAACCAGACCCACTATTTATATCTGTATTAGATGGCCTAATGTCAAGTGTTTATAAAAAAGTTTGTGGGGCAATCCATATGTGTCTAAGAAACCCCTTTCAATTATCAGTAATTTATCGTTCAATGAACGAGTCTGTATGACCGAATAATTTTGTGTATTTGACGAAGTGGTGTTGGTGAAGGACGGTAATAGTGAATTCATTTGGAAAATTGTCATCTTACTATCGAAATATGTTATGGCAGCCATAAGATCATCTAGACAATGTTTATTTAAGAAAATAATAATAAATCATTATATTCATTTCAAAAAGTATATAAATATTTTCAGAATAAATATTACTATATGCCAAAATATACTTAATTTCATTATTTATTTAAGACTCGAATATAAAAGATTCTTGGAATTTAAGAATTTAACATTTTCGTCAATTTTTTAATAAACTAAAAGAAAAAATCGGCTTACAAATAAGGGAAATCATTCTTAAATACTTATATCAGTTGGGGGAAGATTTTATATTTTAAAAAATAAGGATAATGCGTTGACAAACAAATCAATAAAAAGATTTTAAAAAAATAAAACTAAGAAAACAAAAGAAATTATAAAAATGATTTAAGGATTCTTAGAAATTAGTATTATAATGAACGCTTGTGAAAAAATTTACTCATGCATATCCTATTGAATTCCAGGGTGCTGAAGTCTTTAATTATATTTCTATAGAATTTCGTTAAGGAATATCCATAAGAGGCAGGTGATAGGGGCACGATTTGAGAATCAGACAAGTAATGAACTAGTATAGCTATTAACTGACTTGCCGCTTTGTGATAAATAAATTCTGGATATATGTGCTTGTGAACATTGTAAAAGTGTCATATCTAGTATGGTACAAAGGATAATTCGGTATATTCATATCTTCCTATATTGTAGTATATAATTTAATAAATGTTTTAATATTAGTTTGCAAAATATAAGATTTACTATATAGGTATATTTTCAATAGGCAACGAGGTCGGAAAATGACTTCTTAGTTCAATATTGAATAATGTTTGGGGAGTGGAGGTGGTAGCAAATCTGGATTATGGATGTTAAAAAAATGTAAGGTTTTATTTAAAGCAAATAGAAATAATTTTTCCATAGCCAATTATAGACACCTATTATTAGGTAGATATATGTGGTTTTGATATTTATTTCAATATTTTTTACTCTATAGCGCATTACCTTATTATACACATAACGTATATCCATAGAAGTCACACCGGCATAATACATGAAAGGGAAAAAATCGCTCCCGCTACCTAACTCTCCTATATCAGGGTTTCCACTTAGGGTCTTGGATATATCTGTCAGGTTCTATATCTCCATTTATACAGCCTATCACATTGTAGATTGGTCTTTTCTCCCTCTTTAAATTTATGTCGAGTTTAACTTTCCTTTATTAGGAGGAATGGTTGGATTATTATGTTACATTTACAAGAGATTATTCAATAACTAATGTAAATTTTTTATATATATTCTCAATATCTTTATGATTATTTTAAATATAGCCCGAAATTTTATTTTAACCGTTCTATAAAAAGGCAAGTTTATCTCTTCATTCGGTAGTATAAATAATAATTTTAATTTATGAAAAAGTATAAAGTTCTCAAAAGTTACCTTTGCAGTTATAATCATAAGATCAAATATATTTAAAAAATAATAATAGACTAACTACCAACCAAATTTATATAAAACGCAACTTAATCTTATCTTGATTTTATATAATCCAAACCAGAGTTTAAAATGCTCTTCAAATTATAAAAATCTTTAAAAATTTTGAATCCACGAAATTTTTTTTAGTAGAAGATTTTGATGAGAATGATGATCAAATAAAATTTTTGATCAAATTTTACCTAAAATTTCATATCTTTCATAAATAAATTATTTGTGATTATAATGCATACTAAATCTTTCATTACGAAAACCATAAATTTTTAAAAATTATTTTATGATCTTCTTTAAAAGTTGTGAATTTGATTAGCTTTATTGTTTTGCTAAATATTTTAGCCAAAAAATAAATCTTCAAGTAATCATTGAATTTTTTTTTCAAACTGAACTGAGAATAAGGAATCTAAAACACGAATCAATCAATTTTGTTTTTTTTTACCACTCAGATTTAGAATCAATAAATCCTGGTCCAGTTTTATAAGTAAAATTTAAGCCACCCGGCCATTCCTGAGGAACGATGATGCCATCCATGCCACTAAATAGGTGCCAAGCATCTGAGTATGATATGGGATAAACTGGTATGGAAGGTAGAGAATTTTTTGGCGGCACATCCCTATACATAGAGGCTACATAAAATTTTTTAAAAAAATAAACTTATTTAAAATAATACTGTTAAAATATTAACTTAGGAATAAAAAACGGTAAAAACAGTAGATAGAATGTTAAGAAATTCGTTTTTAATTGTGCAAGCAAATCTAGTGCGTCAGCAAGATTTTATGGAGAGTAAAGAATTTGTAGGTTAGAGGTTAGATTTGTGGAAAGTTCGGCCCAAATCAGATGTAGCTTACCAGGATCTTTAAATTTAATAAATCGGACGAGGGCTTTAAAGATATTGGCCTGAGCCGGGCTAAATATCGCATAAATGCAAATCACTGCCATATCATCTCGATCTTCCCTGATAAATATTCTTGTTCGATAAATTTTTGTTTTTGGCGAATACCTCACTGACAAATTAAAACCTTTAAAAAAGGGTATTTTTACCTCTATTTTTAAGATAATATAAATTTAAGTATTTTAACTAATTTTGATTAATGCTTTGAGGGTTGGAAAAATATATATCACATTTCCGCCTGCCCTAGCTAACTCGAACTCGGTCAGTGTGAAATTAAAAATCAGGAAATGCATTTTTTAATTTATTCTACTCTAAAAATCTTGACAGACAATAAAATAACAAAATTAAGTAGAGAAGGATATCCCAAAGTCATAGGATCTCCACTGAAAAGAGATACGGTCATCTGAACACCTGATTTTGGCAACCACCAGGTATTAGGGTATACTACATTTGAATCTATACCTTCCAGAGCGTAATTGATAGGATCGGAGTATAAGATAAGACCAGCAAGTTCAAATACTTCTGCATTTTTCACCTTTTAAAAAATTTGTGTTTAAAAAAAAATAAAAATTTAACCGTAGGGTCTTAAAAAGTAAATATGGAAATGACGAATGTGATGTTTGGAGATGAAAGTTTAGAAAAGATAGAGAAAAAATGAAGTGACTATGGTGTGAAGTGTGGTAAAGGATGTTAATAAAAACTCCAATGATTGTACTTACTTTGTCGTAAATGAGTTCACAGTGAAAAGATTGCGACAGAAGCAATGGGTGATGTCGAGAGAAGAGACTGAAATGGTTAGGACATGTTGAACGGGATGTAAATATTAGATCAGATTGAAATTAGAGGAAACATGACCCAGAGGGCGACCAAAGGCAAGTTTGAATATGATAGATAATGAAAGGAAATGCTAGGTTTGACAGGCGGCGATGCTCAGGACCTTTGAAAATGGGAAAAGGGATTAGAATAAAAAATGGCCTACCAGAGTAAACTTAGAAAAAGATCATTAAACGACGACGAGAAAGAAGAAGAATACCACGCGATGATCCTACAAATATATATTAAATCTAAGACAGAAATAAAATGTTTTTTTTGGGTTATCTTTAGTGTTTTTTTTAAATATTTTTCAAAAGTTGCAATATTGTAAATATCAGAGATCGGTGAAGCCCAGCCCTTGGAATTCTTTGAAGATATTCCTCTGCCTGGACCTTCATGTATTAATTATGAAGGAATAAAGTCATGCATTTGCCTAATTATGAGTTTTGTAAAAAAAAAATTACCAAATTTCTTCCTAGTGGGTAGCAGTTCAGCCAGGCCTGAAAATTATTTTGCCTTAAATAAATCCCACTGGAGTAAAATAATAAAAATAAGGAGTACTCAGACTGTATATCGGAATATTTTGCTAATTTTTTGACTTCTGCGTCTCTTAACAATAATAACAATCTTTAAAAAAATTCTATGAAAGTTTAATGCTAATCAAAAGGGGTTTTCATTTGGGGTGATGGTTAAAGAGAGGGGTAGTCCAGAAGTTTTTTGGGGTGCTCGAACAATCCTAATAATTATCTTTTTCTTTCAAATGTAATATATATTTAATTTATGAGGATAGGAAGAAAAATAGTTAGCATATGAGGTTAATTTATTTATTATGGTAGAATTATGAAGATCTGAGAAAAAATTTAGCATACATGAAAAGCGAACGAAAAGAAAAGTTTTAAAAAAATTAGAAAAGATAACAAAGGAGATGTGAAACAAATATGGCAAGTATAAGTTGATTCAAATAAAATTAATTTATGGTGGTAGAAAGAAATTATAAGAACACGTTTTATAGATATAAATCATGTAAATATAAATTAAACCAGGGATCCAAACCGAAATAGATATCGGTTAGGTTCAGATAAAAATAACGGTTCAAGGTTCAGGTTCGGTCCGTAAAAAATAAAAATATGGGTTCGGTTCGAATCTCTAAAAACCAGTTTGAACACTTTTGTATTCAAACCTACTTTAGGATTATGTATAAGGAAAATTTCTTTTTTATTTCATAATTAAAATAAAAACCTTCATTTTTATTAATTTCACATTATAAAATGATATTTAATTTATAAATATAACAAATAAATATATCAATGATTAATTTTAATATGAAAAATTACTTAAAATTTTTTATTAAGCCGCACAATTAATATATTTTCAAAATTCGTCTCACTCAAATTACATATATAAGGAGATAATATAAATTTATTTATTGAAAAACATCTTTCAACACTAACTTGGGTAGCTGGCATTGCCAGTATGATATCAAATTTGACGTGTCATTTATAATACTATATGTAAATAATTTATATATTTGATTTAATTTTTTCCTAGGCATTATAATTTATTAGCTTAAAATATTAAAAAAATGTTGTAAAATGGCAATATACTAAAGTTTATAAAAATTATGACTGACGTTTATCAATCAAATGTGATTGATAATAATTTTTAAAACAATTTGAATATAATTAAAAAAATTTGCAATATACTACTAGTAATAACTTACACATTATTTTATAAGCATAAAATTATGTGACTAGAACCGGTTCAGAGGCATTTTAACGATTCGGTTCAGGTTCGGCTAAAATTTTTTAGAGATTTAGGTTCTGTTTAGGTTCGATAAAAATACCGGTTTTTAGCGGTTTAACGGTTCGGTTCAGGTTCGGTTTGGATCCCTGAATTAAACTTATTACATTTATTAATAAAATTTTTCGATTTGTGAAGATTCAGTATTGTCTTCAGTTCATTTATGTTGTTTTTGAAGTAATGTTGCAAACGGCTCTATTTGAACAGATTTTTTAAAAAAACGTTTAACTCAATATAAGCCTTTAGATTTGGTTAATAGATGTTCAAACCTTTTGTGCCATCTATGACCAAAATCTTCAAGCTTTCGGCTCAAATCAGCAAATTATTTTTTTTTACTAGATCAAAAAAAAATTAAAGAGTGTGTAAATTTTTAGTATTCATAACTTTGGAGCCCCTAAAGATGGAACCATATCTGGCTATACCAATTTTACCTGCCAATGAAATGTTTAATCGGGTCTTCAGATACAAAAAGTCATCGTAGATACCATAATTGACGTAAACTAAACCCGACTTGTATTTTTTTTATGTTTCAAATTATAATTATGAAAGAATTTCATTTCTTTATCCTTTGAGTCATACTTCCTCCATAAGAATTTGTCTTGTTAAATTGGTTTTTAGTATAGGCTAAAAAGCTTTTGAGCTAGGGCATCCTATTTTAGTTTGTTTTAAATATTTGGTGGATTATTTTTTTTCGCATTTTATTCACGTTTTTTTGCTTTTTCCCACTTTCGTTTTGTTTTTTATATAAACCTTTTTTTTTTACTTTTTTGGCTATTTAAGTCGATACAAAAAACCAATATTAAGCAATAAGTCGACCAAACAGTCTAAATACTAATATCAAAATTTTAAAAAGAAAAAAGTAACCTCGATATTTCCATCAGCCGAATCGGCATTGTAAGGTGGAATCAACTCTGAGTCATTTTTATCTGGAAACGAATCTTTGTTTATACCAGTAAATTCCCATATAACGTCACCCCCCTTGTCAATCATAAAACCTTGTTTTCTTTTATAAAGGTAGGTTTATGATTCAATTACATTACAATACTTAGATATACTGACGTGCATTAGCGCTCTTTGAAAAAAAAGTCAGCTGAGAGCATGTCATGTTAGTTTCCCGTATAAGAATCGCGATTTCCCAGAATTATTTAATGAGAAAAATAATATTCAGATCTACATATACTAACCATTCTAATAGCCAACTATATCCTTAGCGACTTTCGGCAACTAAGCCCTCTAGGTCTGCCAATCGAATTACATCATCAGCTCTCTCGGCGCCTTGAGAATAAACTCTGATTTTTTTTAAAAGTTTTCAACAAATATTATTCTAAATTATTTTGCATAAGAAACTAAAATGGCATGTCATCAGCTGTCTTGTATTGGTACATAATATGAATGAACCGTTATTTTAATAAGTGAATGTTATTATGCCATGGGATATGATCTATATAATTTTTTGGTTTTAAAATTATCCTCTTATAAAAAAAATAATAGTTAGTTTTAAAAGCAAAGTTTTAAAAAAAATTAAGCATTTGAAAAATATTTTCTGATTTAAAAATTTTTTTGCCCAAAAAGGTAAAAAAATTTTGATTTTAACTGTGAAAGATTTCTTATTTTAAAAAACCTCGAATTGGGTTGATTTTTAAATACGACCCGATTACGATTTTGATCAATATATTAATATGTAAACCTCAAGATTTGAAAGATAGAGGTCCAAACTGTTCTGCCGCCGAAACTTCTAGGTTTAAATATTTTGACTAGGATGTTAATCAGCTCGTTTTTAAAAATTCAAATTTTGCTTTTAAACAACAACAAAAACCCTATTAACCTGAACGTATTTTTTACGTGAAAGCATTATTTTTTCAAGTTTAAACCATTATTTGAGCGTGTTGAAGTCATTTATAAGATAAATCTTTGAAAAAAAAATTATATTAAGTTCAAAAGTTCATGGCAAAAATATTCTAAAAATTACTGTAATAATAAAAGTTTTAGGCAGTCACATCATATGGTTGGTTACTGAAAATTCATGAAATTCCCATGGATACATTATAACGTATTTTATATAGTGGGGAAAATACGTTAAATTTTCAATAATTAAAAAAAATATTGACAATTACATTTTCAATCAAGTTTAATATATTTATTGTTTTTTTTTACTAACCGTAAATCCAACAATTTTTAAATTAGGATAAAAAAAACATTATTTTGAAACTTCTCATTCGGATAGGTCAACATGACTTGATACGTTTGAATGTTGACTGTATCGAGCTTGAATTTGAGCCATTCGGTGTAAATAGCTTCAGCCGAATATTTCTGCTTTACAGTTCCTGCCACATGAATTCTTTTACTGAAATCACTTATAATTCAAAAAAATTGTATTATTAAAAAATAAATTAGTATTAAAGGAAAACTTTTCAACTTTATTTTATAAATTAGGTTCAGAATTTTAAGGCCCATAAAAAAACACACAATGGAACACTTGTCTTCTGGAAAGATTACTTAACCCCATTTGGGATAAAGACCAAATATGATTTGAGCCCAAAACTGAAAAGTAATTATTCTCGTAGAAACGTAGGCGATTGTTGGAATAAGGGAGAGATGAGGCGGTGAAGAAATGAATGAATATGGTAAAAATAAAATATGAGCGTATATTAAGACTTGAGCCAGAAATGACACTAAATAGACCTTAATAGGCATTATCGTTTTCAGAGATTTTCTGCCCAATCACTGGATGACAGAAGGAACAAGATAAGATCCGGGATTTCTAGCTTATCTGGGAATACTAGAGCCATTTAATCTAACTCCCATGGGATTATATAAGAAGTAAAATGGCTAATTTGTCAAGAAATAAATTCCCAGGATAACGATTCTAAAAAAGTTTAAATAGGTATTCTTCATGTGGAATCTACCAGCTAAACTAAAATATTTTACCTGTAAAGATGGGTTTATCTATAGGAAATCATTTTTGATAGCATTATTTCTAGTGATATACCAAAAAGCTTATTTAAATCTCGAAACTGCTGATGAGTTTATAACTGAATCACTATTTAATCATGAGAGCATACACTTTTACCACATGGATATGACGCAAGATTGCTATTAATAATAAGAAGATAATGGAGAGAATGAAATAGGGGTTGAAAGAGGGTAGGAATTATGGTATTCTATGCCAATTTTGATGCTTTAGATTTACTTTAAAATAAAAGGGGTAGTTAAAATCTTTATTAATGTAACATTATCATTCAGTAAAATGAGCGAAGATTTGATAAAATGCGCTAATTGTCTCGAATGAGCAAACTTATATTTATTTGTATCTTTATTGTGGAGTTACGTATAATATTACAATAATTTTTTTTTTAAGTTTTATGAATTAAATATGATAATACCAACATGACCCATGTTTTAAGTTTTATGAATTAAATTTGATAATACCAACATGACCCATGATCTTTGTTAATAGTTAGAAGCACGACCTTAAATTAATCCTAAATTAGTGCCCACAGTATAAAATATATAAAGCCCCAGTTTTTTAAAAAAATATTTCGCAAAATAATGATGAAGCTATGATACAATTAGTTTTACTCTATAAAAATAAAATTTTACCACAAAAGAGCAAAACATTTGCCATATAACCTCGGTCCAATGGCTAAATGAAATTAAAAACTTTAAGAAAATAAATTATATGGCTTCCTTTGAATCATTTCGAGAAATTAAGAAGGAAAGTGCAATCGTATTACATTATTTAATATCTTCTTTAAATAAAAATTTTTTCCATTGTTAAAAGTAATGAATTATTAATAAAACAAATTTTTCCATCGTGCCCTGAAGTCAAGATATAATCAGCTTGATTTTTACTCATTAATCTTCTTAATTTAATATTATGATGGCAAAATCTTTCATTCTTAAATTGTGTTTTAATACTTAGCTTTTTAAGATTTGTAAAAACCCTAAATTTAATTATGAAAAAAATATTTTGCTCTTATTCCAAATCTGTTGTTCATTTATCGTTCCTTATTATTAGTCGCTTTGATTCATTGAATCATTTATTTGTTAATATGCAGAGATCTGAATATTTACCTTTTGCAAGGCCCGGCGTTCTTATAGATAATAATAAGCGATTTAAAATATTTGGTTTTTAAATTATCGAACCAACCTTGATATATTTTTTTAAAATATTTTTTAGGCCCAGTCCATGTTTCCGGGGTAGACTTAGGGCAGGGCTTGAGGGTTTATATCAAGGCAATGTTTGATATTATAAGAAAATTAGGATTAGGAAGGAAATGGATATAAAATCATAAATAAATTCAGGGATCCCCCAAACCCTTAAATTTTGGAGAAAAATACTAATAAAACAAAAAAGGGAATTATTAGTTATGGTGGGGTTTAAAAAACAATAAATAAAATTATTATGCGAAATTTTGAAATAATTTTTAAAAATAAGAAAAAAAAATTTAATAAAAAATACCCCCGTCAGGGGGGGGGGGTACATAATATTTTTATATAAGAAACAGTTACTTTAAAGTGTTTACTTACTTCCTCCAGGAAAATTGTATGAAATAATAGTACACACCGCCCCCTCCTGAGCGGGTCACTGATTCATGATGTAGTTACTTCCGCACATGCTGAAATACATTTTCGGCCAAACCAGAATTTGTTTTCAAATGCAAAATTTAGCCATAATAAATGATTTAAAATTGAGAGATACCTAATCCCCATGGATTGCACATTCCATCACGACATACATATGAATTAGTAAGATTTAAAAACAAATGGAGGATGAGCAAATTATAAATTACTAAAATAACAGCTTATTACCGTAAATATGATTCAATGTTCGATGCATTTATGTTATCCAGAATATTTTGATTAATTTCATCCCTGTTTATGGATTTTGAATCGATTTGATCTTGACTTAATAAGTTACGTATTTATTATAAGACAAAAGTAAAACACTGTAAAAATGTGCGAAAACATTTTTAAAATAATTAAAATTAAATTTTTTTTATTATCTTAAAAAAAATTATTTTCACAATTTTGCCACTTATAATAAATAACGGTAACGTAATTGAATCATAAAATTTTTTTTATTATCTTATTACTATTACTAAAAAAAAAATTAAATTCACAATTTGTTATAATAAATAACGGTAACCTAATTGAATCATAAATTTTTTGGTATATTTTTTAAATTATAGTTTATTATTAAAAAAATAAATTTTGATTTAAAAAGTCCATGAAGTTCGCCCCGGCATTAGATTTTTGATAATTTATCTCGGATGGATTTGTAACCAATTTTTTCCCATTAGGCAGGTTTTATTTGTAAATTCTAATATTGCTGGGTTAAACAAAAGTTGGTCTTGCCCATTTCTTCTTTGAATATCTCAAAATCTGTGATGGGTACACAAGTCGAGAAAACTCAGAAAAATCTAAAATGGCGGTATCAACTTTAAGAAACATTTAAAGCGATTAGACAAATTTTAAAATATTTATTTTTCAAGCTATAACAATTTAATTGAAAGAAGATTATTCTGTAAAATCATTGTCATACATTTTTACGATCCAAATGACCAAACTGTGCATACTCAGCGAATTTAGTGTGTATGGACATGAAGAGATCTAAAGGCTAACATTTTACGAACGGGGAGGAAATAATTGTGTCACTTGTGTATTTGTGAATATTACTAATTTAGAAAAAATATTAGATATTAAATTTTAAATTGCCATAAATTTAAATATGTAAAAATTTTTTTATTTCCACTTAAAATTATATTTTAAATGTTAAATATTTTCATATTTATTCAAATAAATTGCTAAATTATCTAACATCTACTTTTATTCATTTGAGTTATCAAATTTTTATATGTCATAAATTTATATATGACGTTTTCCTTAAAATTATAACTTGAATTAATCTAAAGGTTTCATGAAACCTGTTCCTACGGCTCTTTCGATTTTAGAGAGAGAGAAATGCATTTGGGAAACTTCACTCCCGCGATAACTATTATAATATTTAAAAAATGGCTTTAAATAATTTCATTTTGTAAACCACTTATTAATTGCAATTCTGCAAGACAAAGATAAAAGGTATACAGTTGAAATGTTGTCCCACAATTTATATTTTATTTCAGTTGAATATATTATCAGCTATAATTCACCCGCTAAAATCAGAGTGACCCTGGTAAAACTAGAAAGTTCGAACTTATTTCCTGTTTGAGAAAAGATCTTGACAAAGATAAGGTAGACTTGAATCCTTTTAAAAACAACATACTTACATATTATTTTCTAATAAAGATATAAATAAAAAAATTGGATGAGAATCTGAATGAAGATTCTTTTAACGGATGAACTGAGTTTTATTTTTGAAAATAAATATTATTCCTTAATTTGAAATAAATTCCCCCAGTTAAAATTTTTATTTATCCAATATAATATAACCCTCCCATCTTCTGTAACAGTTGAGCATTTAGTTTATTTATTCTAAATTTGAAAATCAATTGTCGTTAAAAATAAATAGAAAAAATTATTTTAAAAGCATCTTATCTTATTAAATTTATTATTTTGCTATTATTTTTATAAATTATATCTATATGTTGTTAGCCTCTGTGTTTTCCCGGCAATGTGTTATTTTTACAACTCTTTTTTTGAGTTCGTTTTAATAAATTTAACATTCCGATTTTACCAGAAATGTATTCTACTATGTTTAAAACACCTATCTTATGAATTGTAGACAGCTATTAACCTTTGAATCACTTAAAATTTATTTTAAAAATATATGGAAAATCTGATGTGAATTATATTAAGTTTAAAGGTTTATGAAAATGTTGCCTGACCTGAAATTCATTGTGTAGGTATTAATTCCAAATATGACATACATTTCCGGTAAAATCAGATCTTTAAATTTTAAATTACTATCTCAAAAAATGATTTAAAGTTTAAAAAATAACACATTGCCGGAAAAAAACACATTGCCTGAAAAAAACACATTGACGCTAACTTATATAATTAAAAATTATTATAAAAAGATATCTTATTATATATTAGTAACGAGTAACCCGTTACTTTTTTTTAATAGCCATTACGAATAATAATAACGAGTTCCTTTTTTTCACACGTAACGAGTAACACGTTTCTTTTTTGAAATAACGATAACAGCATTAGTTTTTATAAATTTTTATATTATCGTCTGACTTTTCATTTCATTAACTTCTAAATATTCCATTTTAAAAGACAAGTTATTATTTTTACATTTGATATAAAATTACAATTAAATAACTAGGAAAGGATTTTTATTCAACCATCCCTCATGATTCTTGGATAACAAGTTTTTGCCATCAAAAATATCTAACATTTTTTTTTTATTTTAATGAAAACCATCATTTGATTTATTATAATCAAAATTTCCAAATTTTGTCTAACTGTCATCTTTTTTTTCAAAAAAAAAATTTGCCAGCCCCAGCCAGCGGTTTAATAATCGTTTACTAGAGAAAAGACGAGTAATTAAAATAAAATAAAAAAATATATTGGCATATGAAAATAAATACGGCTGAATATATATAGTAAACGCGTTTTGTTTGAGCCTAACCGATTTATTGGCTTGATTTTGTTAATAAAGCCACCTCTTAAACAATAACGTGTTTACTATAAATGAAAGAAACTTTAAGACACAATTATATTTTTAAAAATAATCCATTAATTTTTCGGGCCTGATAAAAATTTTGCTCTTGGTGGGAATTAAAAAAAACTTTAGTGCCCACCTCTCTCCTATTATATGCTAAACTATGTTTCTCTATTT